ATGCTTTGGCCGCAGCTGGCCCAGGCAGGGTCCAGGCACACACACTGTCCCTGTCCCACCCTGACTGTGGCCATGGGGCTTTACCTCTGCCCCTATCCTGCATCTCCAGCTCCAGACCTGCCTCCATCAGGCTGCTCTGCTCCTGGATGAGCTGGTGGAAGGAGGTGTGCAGGGCTCCTTCGTTGTCTGGGCTCGGCTCCTCGCTGTGGGGACACAGACCTGTGCTCCTAGGGTTGGGGCAGGCTCCAGGGCCTGAAGCCATGGCAAAGCCCCAGTGCCAACCCACAGCCCAGCCATGCTGCCCCATGGCACAGGCACCCAGAGCCTGTTGGGGGGGCTGGATGCTGGATGCACCGCTCGTACACACCCATCGCTCCCAGTGTCCTCAGAGACGTGGAGGGTAAAGGAGGGCGGGTGGGACATCCTGCAGGGCCGAGGGGTCTCGGTGACACTGCGCTCCCTCCAGTACGTGCCCTGCCACGGTGAGCAGACAGGGGTCAGCAGGCCTCGTGCCACAGCACCCCCATTTCCTCCGGTGCCCGGGGGGTGCCGGCCGTTGGGACGGGGATGGAGCGGATGCTGGGGCGAGGCGGGGCTGTGGGGCTAAACCCGTATCTAGACCCGTGAGGGGCACAGGGTCAGCCCGGCCCTGGGACCTGCAGAGGGGCAGGAAGGGCAGCGGGCGGCGGCGCGGGTTCCGCCGGGCAGGTCCCGCCGCACGGGGCGCCCGCACCAGCCGCGGGCTGCGCCGGGGGAGCCCGCCCGCCTCCGGGGCTCTGCGCTTCCGACCGGCACCCGCGGTCCCGGGGAGGCGAGGACGCCCCTGCTCCGGGCCCACGGGGCTCGACTTGGCCCTGCGAGCTCGAGCTGCTCCCTCCCCCCGACAGAGCCGAACCTGCCCCCCCCCCAGCCACTGCCTTCCCGGGACCCGAGAGCGGCTCCGCAGGGGCCCCGCCGCTCCCGTCCCGCTGCCCCCGCCTGCCGGAGCCCCAGCGCCTTCTCCTTCCTCCCGTCCCTCCTCCCCCTGCACCCCCCCACGCCCCGGTACCCTCCCAGGGCGGACGAAGCCTGCTCCGGGCAGGCGGTGGCACCCGCGAAGCTCCCGGCCCGATCCCCGGATCCCCCCCGACAGCTCCCGCCCGCTCCGGTACCAGGAACCGACGTCTCGGCGACAGAGCGAAGCCGCCCCCCTCCAGCTGACCCCGGGCCAGCCCCGCGCTGCCGGTGCCGGTGAGGGGCGATCCCTCCGCGAATCACCCCGCTCCCCGCCGCTCGCGCTCACCGCTCCCCGCCGCGGGGCCGGGCCTGTCCCGCAGCACAGAGTACGTCGGGAGGTGCCGAGCGCTCCCCCGCCGCGGACCGCGTGGAGCTGCCGTGGGGCCGGGGCTCCCCGTGCGCGGCTGCCGCTCTCCCCGCTGCGCAGGACCGAGCGCCAGCGAGGCCCGGGGGTGCCGGGGGTGGGCGCGGGGCTGGCGCCTGCGTTCAGCGGCCGGGCTGGAGGGGACCCGATCCCAGCAGCCTGAGCCCGCCCCGCCCCGTCCCGTCCCGCCCCGTTGGCAGCGGGGACCGCCCGGCCCGGTCCTGCCCGCCCCGGGGCGGTGCCGCGCAGAAGCGGCTGGGACGCGGCGGCGGCTCCGGCGCGATGGAGGGCGGTGGCGGCGGCGCTTACGGGGCGGCCAAGGCCGGCGGCGCCTTCGATCTGGGCCGCTTCGTGCAGCAGCCGCAGGTCGTGGCCAGGATCGCCAGCGCGGTGAGCCGGGGCTGGCGGGACGGGAACCGGAGGGGCTGCGGGAGGGCCGGTGCCGCATCCCGGAGCCCGCCCGACCCGGCCCGACCTTCCCCTCCTCTCCCTCTCGCCCGCCCCCTCCGGGCCCCCCCGGCCCTGCGTTCCCTTCCCTTCTGCCCGCCCCGGAGCCCGCCCGCCACGGCCTTCCCCTTCCCCTTCCCTTTCCCCCTCCCGGCCCTGCGCAGCCCCGGTGTGAGCGCTCGGTGGAGCCCGGCCCGGCCGGTGTCCCCAGCCCTGGCAGGACTCCTCGGCCCCGGTGCTGCCCACCGGACGCCCGCTCCCATCTCCGCAGGTCTTTGCCTTGATCGTCTTCTCGTGCCTGGTCGGGGAGGGCTACACCAACACCGCCAGCTCCTCGGAGCTGTTCTGCATCTTCAACCACAACGAGGATGCCTGTCGCTACGGCATCGGCATCGGCGTCATCGCCTTCCTTGCCTGCGTCTTCTTCTTCATGGTGGACGTCTACTTCCCGCAGATCAGCAACAGCACCGACCGCAAGTACCTGGTCCTGGCAGACCTCGGCTTCTCAGGTGCGAGCAGGTGTGGGCAGGGCTGTGCCTCCTGCGCTGCCACAATGGCTGCCCTTGTCCCATGACGTGGCTGCCGGCGCCTGGCAAAGGGAGCGCTTCCTCCTGGACCACTGCCCACAGGCCACGCGCTCACTGCTCAAGGCGCTTTGAGGAGCCACGGAGGCTGTGCCGGGTGCCTGCGCCAGCCACCGGCCCTGTGCAGCCCGGTGGGAGCAGGGTGAGGGCTGGGCACCCTCCTGGGAGCAGCAGGATGCAGCCCCGGCCCCTCAGGCTCCTGCCTTCCTCCTTCAGGTCTCTGGACGTTCCTGTGGTTTGTTGGCTTTTGTTTCTTGACCAACCAATGGGCCTGGACACGGGCCGAGGATGTGCCCATCGGGGCTGACTCTGCCCGTGCTGCCATCACCTTCAGCTTCTTCTCCATCTTCTCCTGGGTGAGTGCTGCCGCGGGGGAGCTGGGCGCTGCCGTGCTCGGGAGGGTGGTGCAGGGGCTCCCCGGCCACACAGCCCTGATGCCACCGGCCCCTTGTCTCTCCAGGGCCTGCTGATCACCTTTGCTTACAAGAGGTACAAAATGGGGGTGGAGGACTTTGCTCAGAGCTACATTGACCCCAGCCCGGAGGTTTCAGCTCCCTACTCCAGCTACCCCAACATCAGCCATGACAGCTACCAGCAGCCACCTTTCACCCATACAGCAGAAGGCCCTGAGGGGTACCAGCCGCCACCAGTGTACTGAGCCATGGCCAGGGCCCAGCAGGGATGGCTGCACCGGTGCAATGCTCTGCTGTGGGATGCAGGGGAGGGACCTGCCACGTGAAGGGGGACGGTGGGTGGGAAAGTGGCTGCTGCTTTGTGTGAAGGCCACTGGCCATGGTGTGGGGTGCAGGAGTTGATCCCCCGGTGGTGGGACCCGGTGTGCAATGCACAACTGCTGAGTGCAGGCCCGTGGCTGTGGGGAGGGTGAGTGTGTGGGGCTGGCCCTGTGAGGCCAAGCTCCTGCCTTTGGGGAAGCCGCTGTGGGGTGAGCGTGTGGTTTGCACCCCCAGCTCTGCCCTGGCCATGCCCATGACTGCTGCCGTGTTCTGGTGCCTTTCCAGCCCTGCTGGCTGACCCCTCAAGTGCCAGCTTTTGCTGCCATAGCTGGGCCATCCAGCTCCTGCCTCTCCTGTGCCTTCCCCTCAGCTGCTGCTGGGTGAGCTTCATGCCAAAGCCCTGTCTTATCTCACCTCTAAACTGTGCTGTGCCTTCCTGCAGCCTGCACCAGAGCTGCCAGTGCTGGGTGATGCTGTCTGGGATCTGTGGGAGCAGTGAGTGCCGAGATCTCCCAGTGGGCCCAGGGCTGACCCTGCTCTCTGACAGCGGCCCCGTGTGTAATTCCTGCTGCTGCAGCCCCTGCCCTTGCCTCTGCATCCCACACCCCACTCAGCTCCCGGCCCATGCCAAGGCGCTGGTGCAGGCTGCCGATCTCAGGTTGTGTGTGCTGCTGCACCCAGCAGCAGTGTGGTGTGAGCTGGTGCTGCTGGGGCTGGCCTTCAGATAGTTCTTTGTCACTGTAGGTAATGGAATAAACTTTTTCACCTCGCCCCCCCACACCTCTCTTCTCTGGGGAAGCAAAGCAGGATTCCTCCTCTTCCTCCTCACCCCAAGGGCCAGGGAGCAGCAGAGCAGCCTCAGCCAACTCCTGCACTGCAAACAGCACACTCATGCTGGCTCTATTTTTAGCCTGTTGGGTAGGTTTGGGCTCCAGCACAGGCAGCTGCTGTAAGCTGTCAGCCCATGCTGGTCCCTGCAGGGGAGCCTGCTCAGAGCAGATGGGTATAAAACACATGCAGAGACTCATTAAGTTATTTATTAAGCTTAATTCATCCAGTTGTTTATTAAAGGGGAAAGCCCAGGCTTGGCCCTCGCACACTGGTGTGTGCTGGAACTGTCACCACCTGAGTAATGCAGAGGGGGACACGCTTACCAGGTGGTGGTGCAACCTCCGGGGGAGGTCCCTCCGCCTGGCTGGGGGTGTAGGCACAAAGCACTGCATTGCACAGGGAGATGTGAACTGGCCAGAACCAGGAGCTGCTGCTTGGAGCTTGTGGGCACTGGCTTAAAGGTAAAAGTGCTTTTGGGAGGAATAAGGAAGGAAACCCAAACCTTCCAGAAAGCCAAAGGTCAAACAAAGGGAGAAGAGGATCCTTCAGCCAACCTGCGGCAGAGGAATTAGCCTTGAGATGTTTTAGAGAGCTCAGAAGGCAGCAATGTACGTGACTAAGCTGAGAACCACTCACCAAAAGCAGAGACCCTTCTCAAAGTCTCTGGGTCTTTGAAGGAACAGCAGCCCAACCCTTGACAGGTTAAGTCCTGAGCCTCCAACCCCTTCACAGGTAGCTGAGCACTGAAGGGGCAGCACTGAGCTTGGCCCTGAGCAAAACCCCCTTCTGAAAGGAGCCTGCCTTAAATAGAGACTACTGCTAGACTAACACAAGTAAGAGCTGCTGTCACGCTGTCCGTCACCCTGCCTTTCCCCCTCGTCTGTTTCAGCAAAGAGTTACAGGACAGTTCGATCAAGAGTGTAACAGCAAAGGGGTGAGCCGCATGCAGTCATTCAAAGGGAGCACTGAAAGCCAGGCTGAGGGATGGGTTATCCCCTTGGACTGCATAGGAAAGGGAAGTGGGTTAAAAACACTTGAGTTACATTGTGTCTTAAGAACCCTGGGATTTAGCAACAGGGCACCAGAGACAAACAAGTTGCGTTCCCAGGTGAGGGAACCAGCCAGCAGAGCCAGGCTGAGCCTGTGCCCAGCCCAGGAGAGCGGCGGGAGCAGTGGGAACCTGCAGCCCGACCGCTGTGACAGGGTTCCAAGGCTGGTTTGGTGGCAGCATCAGGAGCTACACCCATCCCTTTCCATGTTCTGAGACAGGAACTCCCTGTGAGCCAGGCTTCCGCTGCTGTGTCAGGTGCAGCTGATCCTCTTCCTCCCCGTGCCTGCAGCAGGGGAGAGGCGGGGGCTTGGCCGGGGGCACTGGGCAGTTCAGTTCTGCGGAAGCAGAGGAAGCTGGAGCACTCGGAGCTGCAGCCTTCAGCTGCATTCTGCTTGGCCTCCTGCACACGGGAGCCCGGCAGTCAGGAAGCAAAGATCTTGCGGCAGGAGGCAGCCGCATTGAGCTGCTTCAGCATCAGGGGCACGTTCTCCTTGTTCTCCAGCCCAGGCTGAGGGGGCTGATGGCGGAAGTAGCAGGCTCTGCAGACGGAGTGGTACTTGTCTGCTCCTCCAATCACCTCAACCTGGCAGGAAAACGGGGGGAGTGACTCTGCAGAGGTCAGCTCCCCTGAGAAGATCCCTCCAGACCAGCAGGACTGGCAAGGTGAAGCTACTGCAGGGCTTCCTCTTCCAAGGGAATCCCAGACTGCTTTGGGTTGCACCTTAAATGTCATCCAGCTCCACTCCTCTGCCACGGGCAGGGACCCCTTCCACTGGAGCAGCTTGCTCCAAGCCCCTGTGTCCAACCTGCCCTTGAGCACTGCCAGGGATGGGGCAGCCACAGCTTCTCTGGGCACCCTGTGCCAGCGCCTCAGCACCCTCACAGGGAAGAGCTTCTGCCTAAGAGCTCAGCTCAGTCTCCCCTCGGGCAGGTTCAAGCCATTCCCCTTGGCCTGTCCCTACAGGCCCTTGTCCCAAGCCCCTCTCCAGGTTTCCTGCAGCCCCTTTAGGCACTGGAGCTGCTCTAAGGTCTCCCCTCAAGGAGCCTTCCCTTCTCCAGGCTAAACCAGCCCAGCTCTCTCAGCCTGGCTCCTTAGAACTCACCTCCCTCTCTGCTCCCAACCTCTTTGTGTAGGAGGCCTCTCGGTAGCACTCCATGCACACAGCGTTCAGCTTCACCACGCTCTCTGCCAGCGGCACCAGGTTCAGGATGCTCCCAAAGGCCTGTGCCAAGACAGCAGGATGGTTCTGTTGGATGGTTCTATGAGGGGGTCAAAGCAGCCGCTGTACTCAAACAAATGCTTTACCTTTCTCTGGAAAGTGCCATCAAGAGCAGCAACTATGATGGTTTTCCCGGTGTTGGCCATCATCTCACAGAACTCCACGATGTCTGGGAACTAGAGAGGATACCGAAACAGCGTAAGGAGGAAGTACTCTGCTCGGGATCCAGCAGCACAGGGCACAAAATAAAATGGAGGCATGCTGCCTACCCATAAAGTGGGCTCCAGCCCCCCTGTCCTCGGCCTGCAGGAGAGACAGGGCTTGACTGTACAAGCACAGGGGGATCAAATAGCCCCAGGGTATTCCTCCTCCGATCCCCCCCGAGGATTTAGACCCTGGGCTGCACGGGGGAGCTCCCATCCTGCAGAGCTTCCCAGGACCTGCCCTGGCACTTACAAACTGGCCCTCATCGATGCCGATGACTGCGGAGTTCAGCGCCTCCTGGTACACGTCCTTGAGGAGACAGGCTGGCACGGCCTCCATGGTGTTCCTTGGGAAGGGAGCGCAGGTGAGGCCCGCAGCCGAGCTGCTGGGCCCGCAGCGGGGGGTGCGCCTGCCGCAGGGACTCACTTGTCGTGCGTGGAGACACCGGAGGACCCGTAGCGCGTGTCCTTGGCGTATTTCACCAGCAGGCACCGGTACTGAGCAAGCTGGAACCGCCGCACCCGCCGCATGAGCTCCGTGCTGCGGGAGAGGCGGCGGTCAGCGGGACTGGAGCCGTCCGTGAGCTCCACACGGGCCCCCCCTGCTCCCGCCCGCCCCGGGCCTACCTCTTCCCGGAGAACATGGGTCCGAAGATCACCTGCGGCAGAACCGGATGTCAGCGGCTGGAATAAGCGGGACGGATCCCCACAGGCAGCTCCCGCGCCCCGCCTGGCGCTGCCCCGGGACCCCCCGCGACCCGGCCACAGCACAGACCCCCTCCCAGTCCCGGTGCCCGCCGCCGGTACCTGTATCTGCCCGCGGGGGCGGCCGGGAGAGCCGGGGTGGACTCCGGGCACCGTGAGACAGCTCATGGCTCCACCGGCACTCGCCGACTGACGGACTGACCCCCGCGCACCGCTCCACCGACCCGCCCCATGGCCAATCAGAGAGGCCCCACGCCTCGGCGCCGCCGCGCCAGCCAATCGGAAGTGTCTCGCGCCGCCCGTCTGGCCAATGGCGGCACAGGCGCGAAAATTCTTTTTTCCCCTCTGAGCTCCCGCGCCTTCCCGGCGTGCACCGCGAGGAGTCCTGCGGCTACGTCATCGCTCTGCCAGCCCGCCAGGCATCCCCGGCCACACCCCCCGGGCTGCCAATGGGAGCGGAGCGGCTCAGCCCGGGGCTCCGCCCCCGCCACGTGCCCCGGCCCCACCTCCCGGGGTGCCAATAGGAGCTGGGCGGCCCCGCCCCGCCCCCGAGCGGACCTGGGCGCGGGGTCGGGGTCGCGATCGCGATCGGAATCGGGACCGGTATCGGGATCGGGATCGGAATCGGAGCCGGAGCCGGAGCCGGAGCCGGAGCCGGTCCCGGCCGCAGCATGGGCGGGTGGTGGGACATGGCCGCGGAGGTGGGTCCGGGGGGTGGCATTGCGCTGCTCCCGCCAGGTGACGGGTCGGGGTCGGGGCCCCTCGCCCGGTCCCCGTCGCGCCGCAGCCGCCGTGCCCCGCAGGAGCTGGAGCAGCAGTACTCCCCCAGCCGCTGGTCTCCCCGCTTGGGCCCCGACGAAGTGATCCAGGCCCACCTCGCGGCGACGGTGGCAGGTGAGGAGCGGGCGGCCCGGCCCGGGGGACCGGCGGGGCCGGGACCGGGAGCAGGAGCGGGGCTGACCCAGGCGCCGTGTCCCTTCTCCCACAGGAACCCAGCGGGCCCGGGCTGGCGCTAAGACCTCTCTGCACGTCCCTTACGGCGACGGGGACGGCGAGAAGCTGGACATCTACCTCCCCACAGACCCGTCTGGAAGTAGGTGACGGGCAGGCGGTGGCAGCGGTGGCGGGCAGGGGCTGTGACCCCTGCTCACCCCGGGCTGTGCTGCGCAGCCTTCCCTGTCCTGGTCTATATCCACGGTGGATACTGGCAGTGCCTGAGGTGAGGCGGGCTGTCGGCGAGGGAATCCCTTGGGAACGGGTCTCCAGTCCTCTGTTACTGCTTCCCTTCTCATGACATGGGCTTGTTCTCGGTATGCTGGGCCTGGACCCAGAGACCCCAGTGCCCACAGCCTGGCCACCTTCTGTTTCCCCGCAGTAAAGATGAGTCAGGGTTTGCAGCCCCCTCGCTGGTGTCACAGGGCGTGGGGCTGGTGGCTGTGGGCTATGACATCGCTCCCAAAGGTAGGTGCTGGCCGGGAGAGCCTGTGGGTGCCCCTGCTAGCCCCGTGCCCTCCTGACGCTCAGCTCTGCCCAGGACACATGGACGCCATGGTCATGCAGGTGCGGCGCAGCATCGCCTTCCTGGTGGAGCACTACAATAGGATCAGGTGGGCCACAGGCCATCCCCGGGGCCCCCCTGTCCCACCAGCACGGCTGCCATCCGGTCATCAAGACAAACTGTGCACGTGGGGGTCCCTGCATGGGGTTTGGTGCAGGGGGTGGCAGCCAACCCCTGAGCTGTGATGGGGCTTTGATAGCTCAGTCTGAGCACTGGGCAGCATCAGTGGCTGTGCTCCCTTGTCACTGTGTGAGGCGTCAGCTATGGACTGAGAAATGTGTTTGGGCTGTGTTTGGATTGTGCCGTTGTGGAGAGAGCAGTGTCCCCAGGCACTATTGCTCCCCGCACTGGCCCATGGCTCCCCCTCTGCAGAGGCATTTACCTGTGTGGACACTCAGCGGGGGCTCACTTGGCAGCCATGGTGTTGTCCACGGACTGGACGGAATACGGTGTGGTGCCAGATATCAAAGGTAGCAGTAGCATGTCCAGGCACAGGGGCTCAAAGGGAGCTGGTGTCTACACCCAGGACGAGGTGTCTCTGTTGCTTATATGGGGCTGTAGAACTGCAGGAGACAAGTTGCCCAAGCTGATGTCAGCCAGGACATGCTGGGATTGTGGGACTTGGCCCCTGTGCCCACCAGCCACTCTCTGAGGTCTGGGATGTGACACGGGCACAAGAAAAGTGGTCTCAGGACCCTTCACCCCCCTCTGGCCCAGGAGCGGTGCTGGTGAGCGGCGTCTACGACCTTGAGCCCATCCTGCACACCTACGTGAACGATGCGCTTCACATGAGCTGGTGAGCGGGGCTGTGGCCTCTGCCTGCCGGGGCGCGTGGCCCGGTACACGAGGCTGCGGCCACTGCCACCGCGGTGTCTCCTCAGGGAGGTGGCCCAGCGGAACAGCCCCCTGCTGCACATCGCCCCGGCAGCACCTGCGGCTGCCGCCTGCAAGGTGCTGGTGGCCGTGGCCCAGCACGATTCCCCCGAGTTCCGCCGGCAGTCGCGGGAGTACGTCCTGGTGAGCAGCGGCAGGAGCCGGACCCGCCGGGCTCAGTCCTGCTGCTGTGGAGGATGACAGCGGCTCGGGGGGGGGATGCTCGTCCTTGAGCATCCTCCGTGGTTCCCGAGGAGCCCCTCCCAGCAGTGCCTCTCTCTGGGCAGGCCCTGCGGGCAGCCGGCTGGTCCGTCTCCATGCTGGATCTCGCCGGCGTGGATCACTTTGACATCGTTGAGAAGCTGGCTGAGGACAGCTACGTCCTCACTCAGGTAGGGGAAGAGCCCCCGCCCTCCCTTCACTCCCAGCACAGCCGAGATTGCGCAGCCCAGGGGGCTGTGCTGAGGGGAGTGCTCCCTGCATACGGGTGTGGGGCTGCAGCCTCCGGGCTTCAGGAGCAGAGGAGTGGGGCCAGGCACTGCTCACAGGGCTCCACTCCTCATCTCAGGTGATTCTCAACATGATTTTGAGAGCCTGATGGCATGGCGGGAGCAGAGATGGGAAACAGCCCTGTGCACACCCAGCCCTGCTGCCCTCCTCCCTGTGGCTGATGCCTGCAGCCAGGCAGGGGCTGGAGCAGGGGAGCACCAGTTACCACCAGGGATAGCATTCCTTTGCTGGGGTGTTTCTGCCCGTATGAAGTGCATGGAGCTGGCAGATCTGGTGGGCTATGTCTGGACAAAGGGGTGATGATGTTTGTTCCCTTTAAACTGCTTCCTGCCAACACAAAATAAACCAGGAATAGCTGTTGCCTGGGTGGAACTGCTTCCTGGGGAGCTGGGGCTGTGCTAAGCCAGCAGGTATCTCCGGGCTGCGGTGATGTCCCTGCTGCACAGGCAGGAGAGCTGCACACCTGGGAGGAAACACCCTGCGCAGCCCCAGCGCTGCCAGAACATGTTTATTTCATGCCCTGACCATCCCTCGGGGTCTGCCTCTCCACTGCAGCATCCTCACACCCATGCAGTGCGTGTGAGCCAGGCACAGCATGTGCCTTTGGTGTGGGTGGTGTCTGGCTCCAGCTTTGGGTGCCTATGGGACCCAGGTTACAGTAGCTGAGCTGCTGCAGGATCTAAAGGATGCCCTGAGGATGTGTTTGCTGGGTGACCCACAAGGCAGTGACCCTGCCTCTGAGGGGCCCAAGTGGCTGGGTGTGCTGTGGGCTCCCAGTGCCAGGCAGGCTGGGGTGTCCCCTGGGCTGGGCTCACGCTGGCTCGGGGGGCTGCACGCGGGTGAATGCTGTGCTGCAGATGCTGTGGCTGGTCCCAGCACCTCAGCTGCCAGGACAGGGCTGGGGGGATGCTCAGGCTCCCCTCACGCTCGGAGGGGTTGGGTGCAGCCCCAGGGTCAGCTCCTCCTGGCACCTCCTGGCCACAAACTCCAGCTTCTTCCTTGCGAGCTCGGTGTCGTGGGCCGAGACGCCGCGGTGCCAGACAGCGCGCACAGTGCGTGCCGACCAGGGGAAGAGCAGGACGCTGACAGCGTGGCCAGTCTTGGCCAGCTCCTTCTCGCTCACAGCCCGCAGGTGCTCGCAGAGCTCCGCAGGAGATGGGCAGCCCCCGCTGATGTTCACCATCACAATGTTGGTCTCCACCGCCGTGAGGTTGACAGAGCAGAGGGGCGAGTTCAGCTCCTGAATGCCTGTGGGAGGTAGGGGTGGCAGGCACCAAGCCCAGTGGCTGGATAACCGGGAGGGGAGTCTGGCTGAAGGAGGGGCCCTTTGCCCTCCCCTCTGTGTGGCACTGGCACAGCATTGTCTTGGCGCAGGACCGCAGCATCATCCTGGCCTGGCTGCAGATCCAGCTCACGGAAGGTGCTGTGCTGCCGTCCTGCAGCAGTACTGGGTGTGCTGGAATGGGTGGCGAGCCCATGCCAACCCAGCAGTGCAGCAGCATGGGGAAACAGAGAGCAGCTTTAGGCTGCGTGTGCCTGCACCTCCCGCCGTGCAGAGGGCCCCAAGATACCTTCAGCAAACCGCCAGGCATTGTCATGGTCCCTGCGCAGCCTCACCCCCATGTGCTCAAGGCCAACAAGAGCCGCAGCCGCCAGCACTCCCGCCTGCCGCATCCCGCCGCCCAGCAGCTTCCGCATGCGCCAGGCCTCAGCCACAAAGTCCTTGCGCCCAGCCAGCACCGCACCGGCCGGGGCACCCAGGCCCTGCCGAGACACCAAGGGGTGACTGGGGCTGCCCCTGCTGGGATGTGCCCAGGAACACCCCAGCCTGCAAGCCGGGTGCTCGGCCCAGTGCTCCTGAACATGGGCAAGGTCCCAGTGAGCACCTTGGAGAAGCAGAGAGTCACGGAGTCGCAGTGCTTGGTGATCTGAGCTGGCTCCACGTTCAGTGCCACTGCCGCATTCATCAGCCGCGCTCCGTCCATGTGCACCTGCAGCCCGTAGCGGTCAGCAAGCCCACGGACCTGGGGGCAGGCACTGAGCTGGAGGGACCTTTGGGGCAGCGGGTGCCAACATGAGCCACGCTCTGAGCTCCTTGGCACAGCCCTGGTGTCCCTGTGGTGCCCCCTGCCAGCACCAGCGGCCAGCTCTGGCTGCAGGCTCATACCTGCTGGAGGTAGGCAAGGGGCAGCACTCGGCCCCCAGCCGAGCTGTGCGTGTTCTCCAGGCACACAAGCTCGGGGCGCGGGTGGTACCGGCTGCTGTGGGCCTCACGGATCGTCAGCTCCAGCAGCTCCAGGTCGAAGGTGCCATCGGGCAAATCCGGCAGCGCCTGGGAGTGGACACCAGCGACCTGCGCCCGGGGCAAGGCAGAGCAGAGCTGACCGGGGACGGGGACGGTGCCCGCGGCTCCCAGCCCAGTCCCACCAGCGGCTCCCAGCCCAGTCCCGCCCGCGGCTCCCAGCCCAGTCCCGCCCGCGGCTCCCAGCCCAGTCCCGCCCGCGGCTCCCAGCCCAGTCCCGCCCGCGGCTCCCAGCCCAGTCTCACCCGCGGCTCCCAGCCCAGTCCCACCAGCGGCTCCCAGCCCAGTCCCACCCGCGGCCCGGGTGATGCCGGTGATGTCGCCGCGCAGCCCAGCGAGGGCTCCTCCGCCGAGCGCGGCGCCGGCAGCCAGCGGAGGGCAGCATCAAGCCGCCCTCTCGCCTGCCCTGCCCGCGCTGCCGGAGCCGCTGGGCCCGCCCCGTCCGAGGCACCCACCTGCGCGACCCCGCCGTGCTCGTAGACGTGCAGATGGGAGTCCCGGCCCAGAATCACCTGAGCTCCCCGGCGCTGGCAGTGGCACATCACTGCGAGGGGGAGCGGCCGTGAGCGGGCAGCACCCCGCTGGCACCCGAAGGTTGATGGTGCAGCACAGCGGGAAGGTCCCAGCACCGCAGCCTCCTGGGGCACCGGCCGCCTGCTCTGTCCCCCAGTGCTGGGAGTGTTGGACAGGCGGTGGAGGTGGGGATGTACTGGGAGGGGCACGGTTCCCGCATCCTGGTGCACGCAGGAGGCCAGGGCTGGAGCGGGTCCCACGCTCCCAGGCAGCGCATGGTGGACCCCGGTCACAAGAAGGCCAGGAAGCGAAGTGGGTAAAGGTTAACATAGCAGGGCAGAGGCCACGCATGGGACTGGTACGAGCAGACCCAAGGCGGGGGGGTTTGCTCAGCAGGAGCAGCTCCAGGGTCCAAACAGGGATGTGGGGCTACAGATGTGAGGTGGAGGGAGCTGGGAAAGGAGTGAGGAGATGCACCTAGGTCAGGGAGGACCTGCTGCCCACAGCTCTGTCCTGGGGCTGCCCGAGTGACTTCCCTAGCAGAAGCAGGGCTCTCCTTGGACCTTGGGGAGCAGCAGGGCTGTTCTCGCCTTCTGCACCCTCCATGGGCTGGGGGCACAAATCTGCCCCTGGGTTTGTGACCTGGCTGCCCGGGGCCAGGCAGGGGCTAGGCACAGCCCCGGCACTCACCGGCAATGAGGTTCGCCATTGTGGCCGTGGGCAGAAACAAAGCCTCCTCCATCCCCAGGGTCCCCGCGGCCAGGCGCTGCAGCTCTGCAGGAGGGAGAAGCACCGGGATCCTGGGGGGGGGGGGTCTGCTGGCCCTAGGGGGGCGATAGGGAACCCCACAGGCCCAGGCTGCTGCCCCCGGCCTCGGAGAAGCCCCCTGGGGATCCCCATCCCCGCTGCCCTTGACTTTGGGGGCTGCAGGCAGGGACCCCACCGGGGGGGCTCGTCCCGGGCGCCCACCGTTAACCGTCGGGTCCTCCCCGTAGTCGTCGTCGCCCACGGCGGCGCGGGCCATGGCGCTGCGCATCGCCGCGCAGGGCTGGGTCACGGTGTCGCTCCGCAGGTCCACAACGTGCGGCGGGAGGCGGGGGGGACCCCGCGGCTGCACCGCCCAGATCCCAGCCCCCGCCACGGGCAAGCGCCCCCTCCGCAGAGCGCCCCGCGCCGCCAGCATCGCCGGGACCGCCCCACCGCAAGGGCTCCCGGGCGGAGGGAGGGGCCGGGACCCGTTGCGGGCGGGGCCGGGCCCGGGATCGGGATCCGCGGCGTGGGTTGCGCGGCCCGCAGGGGCACAGGGCACCGGGCACCAGGGACCGGGCACATCCCGGGGCTGCTCCGCAGCGCGGCCCCTGCGGACTCCCCATCCTTCCATCCTCTCCTGCCCGGCCTCTGCCCAGTGCCCACCGCAGCCCTGGGACACGGTCGGGGGTGCTGGACACGGGTGGGTGCTGCCGCAGCCCCCGGCTCGCCCGAGGGCCCCTGTTTGCCAGGATCACCCATCCCGGGTGTCCTGCCGACGGGACCTGTGCCCCCTTGGCCTTGGCTCCCCGAGGAACCACACGTCCTCCTGCAGGCCCGTGGCACCATGTGCTGGGCAGCAATGGCTGCTGCCACACGGCCGGCAGGGACAGTGCAGGGTGACCTTGCGGCTGGGAATTGGCTCCGGCTCCTGGCTGCGTCTGCCCTGGAAGCAGCTGACATCCTGTGCAGTGCGGGCAGTGTGTCCAGCAGCTCCGCAGCTCTCGGCACTCTGCCTGCATCGGGGGGGCCACCGGCGCCTGGCACAGATCCCTGAACAGGGGGGCATGTGCCCAGCACAGCGGCGAGACTCCCCCCTCCTCTTGACCCATTGGGCTGGACCAGCTGGAGGCTGGTGAGGCTCCATGGGGCAGACCTGACCCATGACCATGGGGCTCTGCTGGGAGGGCCTATGCCACAGCCCCTGCTACGCCTCTGCCTCTTCCTCCCTTCACCATGTGCCAAACACATGGCCTAGGGCACCCCAGACTCTCCCCCCCATCCGAGAGCCCCCCACCACTGCCCTGGCTGCCTGCCTGTGTGCCTGTCACCCTGCCTGCACCCCTGTGTCCTGCCTGCATCCTGCCTGTACCCCTACACCCTTCCTGCACCCTGCCTGCGCCCCTGTGCCCAGGGCCTCATCACCACTGCCTGCTGCAGCCCTGCTGTCAGACCCTGCGATGAGTGAGCCATAAACAGTCAGTCCTTCACAGAGACGTTTTTCACACGCAGGGCCACATGTTAGCAGTTTTTCTTTATTTACTGCCTCCATTTCCTCTTTGTTCCAGGAACTTGTCCTCCAACTTCAAGCTGCTCATGATTAGGCAAAAAGGCCTCTAATCTCCCCGATCTCATTTACCGTCACTGAGAGCAGACGCTTCCCGTTACTGGCCCTGGACCTGGAAGCACGGACAACTGAGCTGTGCCGGCTGCCGAGCCCAGCCGAGCCTCCCCAAAGCTGCCCCGCCACACGCGCTGCCTTCCCAGCAGCTTCCTCTTCCAGTAAGCCCTGGGCAGCCCGGCCAGGCACGCTGCAGGTGACAGCCTGCGGAGGGAAGTGCAGCCCTGGGGCCCTGAGCCTGGGACCCCGCTCTATGTGGGGCAGCTGCCCTGGAGTGGGGCAGGCTCCGGAGCCACTGTCGGGAGGTGGAGCATCCCTAGGCCTCCCCATCTGCTCACCCACTCATCCTCTCCTGCTGCTCCCAGCAGGGGTGGCCCTGGGGTGCCCCATGGGTGTGGGGAGCTCCCATCTTGGCCATTCCTCTCACCTGAGCCCCTCAGGTGCTGGTGCTGGAGACCTGCGAGGGGTGGCTCTGCCTGTGCAGCTCCCCCTTTCCAGCCCAGGCAGGGGCTCCCTGCTGGAGAGCAGCTGCATCCTCTGCAGGGCCCGGGTGCCGCACGGCCTCCTCCGCAGAGCCCCACGTCCTGCAGCCCCGCTCCTTTCCCGGGGGCTCCAGGCTGGGGCGTGCCTCGGGGTGCCCCCACTGCGGACCCAGCGAGGCCCCGGCAGGGCTGTGCTGGGGCGGCGCTGGGGACCACGGCCGGGGTTGGCCAAGCCAAGGCTTGCGGGCAGCGCGAGGGCAGCACCGGGGGCTCGGCCGGGGCCGCGCTGTGGCCGTCACCTGCCGGCGCCACCGCGGGAACGGGGCCGAGCTCAGGCTCCCGCGGAGCCTCCCCGGGGCTAAGAGCAGGAGCCGAGGCCGGGCCGGGGAGCGCAGCCCAGGCCCAGCCGAGGAGGGCGAGGATCGGGTTTCCCCCCCACCTCCCTCCCTGCCACAGAGCTGGCAGCCGCAGGGACGATTCCCGGAGCCGGCCGGGCTCCCCCTGCCCCGGCCCCACCGGCAGCCCCAGAGCAGCCGCTGCCAGGCCCTACCCGCGACACGTCCCGGCCCCGGGTGCAGCGTCCCCTCTGCAGTGCCTCAGGAGGGGCTGCAGGACGGGGCACGGTGTCCAGCACCAGCGTGGCTGTGCAGCCTCGGGCATCACTGGGATGAGGCTCAGGCCCTGCTGCCCGAGCACACGTGGCTGCCCCGGGAGCAGCGCTGGCGCTTGGCTCCCAGCATCTCAGCAGAGCCGGGGGGCTGCGGGTAGGGGCTGTGGGCACAGGACTGCCCTTGGTGCAGGCGGTGACCTGGGTGTCTTGTGCTGAGTGCCTCGCGCTGGCCACACACCCGGCAGGACCCTGAAGCGCTCGCCATGAGCTTGGGGACAGTTTTCTGCCAGGCTTCCTCGGCCCTGTGGTGGCCCTGCCTGCACTGCCTGCGTGGCGGGCACCATAGCTCACCCTCGTGCACTGGGGCTGGCCACCCTGTAGGGCCTGCTCCCAGCTGGGCAGGGGGGAGCCACCATCAATCATCCCTGGAGGGGAAGGAGCCGTGAAGCCAAGTGATTTCCTACTGTCGGGAACTGTGGAGCGATGCCTGGAAGTGCTGGGACGTGCTGGGCTCTTGGCTCAGGCTGCTGGCGGCACAGCCAGGCCTCCCCTGTGCCGTGCCATGCTGTGGCCAGTGCCAGGCTATGCTGGAGGCGGCACTGAGGGACTGGTACTGCCCTCTCCACCAGCACCCATGTCCTGGTGCAGCGCTGAAGTTCCTGTGTTGGGCACCCCTATGCTGGCGGCTGCTCACACACGACACCCAACAGGCCTGAGCCCAGAACAAACCCCTCGATGGGCTCATTGGGATGCACCTGCCAGGCCTGGTGGAGTGGCACTGCCAGGGTCAGGGCTGGTGAAGGTGGCCGGTGCCATGCGAGGTTCGGCTGTGGCTGACCCCACTGCGGTCCAGGGCCGTCTGCTCCCTGCCGGGCACTGGTGTGGGACACGGTGGCCAGAGCTGCTGTGGGTGGATGTGGGTGCCCGGGTCCCGGGACTGGCCTGGCCTCAGTGGTGGGGCCGCGGGCAGGGGCAGCTCTGGGAGGGTCCAGGGGCTCCGGGAGCCGAGCACCAGGTCCCACCGTGCGGACAGCGAGCCCCGCGCGGGCCGGCGGAACGGCCGGTCCCGGCCCCGGTCCTGGAGCCCGCTGGGTGCTGCCGGTCCCGGTGCCGCGGGCGGTGCGGGGCCGGCCGGTTCTCCCGTCCCCAACCTGCCGGGGCCGCTCGGGTGACCCCTCCCTCCGCCGGCATCAACTTTTCCAGTAAAACCACCGCAGAAATCCCGGCTTCCCGACAGGACCGCCCCTCGGCCGACGGGGGGGCGCGGGCCGCCTTTAACCCTTCCCGGCCCGGCCCCGCAGCCGCCTCACGCCCCCCGCGCTGTCCCGCCCGGTGCCTCCGAGCCCCCGGGACCCGGCGCCCCGCGGAGCCGCGCTTGGGGCTCCGGCCGCGCTGCCCCGGTTCAGCGATGCCCCCCCCGGGGTGCCGGGGGGCAAAGCTGGAGCTCCCAGACCCGCAATGCTCGGGGAGCTGGGCACATAAAGGAGCCCTGGTCCGGCAGGACGTGGCACCTGCAGACTGCCCAAGTGTCACCCGACTGGAGGGGACCCCTGAGCTCGCAGTGCCAGGGGTGCAGCTCGTTTTCCTTCTCAAGGTGCATCTCATGTGGAGGGAATAGGACTCAACCCTGCCATGGGCAGAAAGAGTATCCCGAGGTCCAAAGAGCCAGAGAACTGACTGGGAAAAGGCCTCTTTCCAAGGGGGACTGTCCCAAATGGTGCATGAGGCTGGGCAGAGCTGGGGCCATGCAGCCTGAGCCCCTCCTTGGGTGGACACCCACGGCTGGGCCTGGACATGGCTCCAAGCTGTATGTCCCTGGGCTGAGGAGGGGGAGAAGGGACCACTGCAGGCGGGTGGTGAGGAGGGAGCAAGTGGCTGCCGTGTTCTTGCTGCACGTGGCAGATCGGGGTTGGACCCACGGGATGTGCCCTGTGACAAGTACCCCCCTCGGTCCTGAGCCCTGGGGCTGGGAGCGGCTCCTGGAGCCCCCAGGCTGGCTGGGGCCGTGCTCCTCTGGGATGCTGCTGCCAGGGGGGCAGAGGCAGGCACTGGGCACTGAGAGCCGTGTGGGCATCCCCGGCCATGCCCTGCCTGCTGCCAGCCCCAGCCCTACAGCGGCTGCAGCACTGGCCGAGTCAGGGCTGAGGTAAGTGCTGTAATTGTTTTCTCTGTGGCCCGAGATGAATAATTGAGAGGTCTTTGAGGAGAATTAATTAGCCCTGTTATTGGCAGCAAATGCTTTTCTCCAGATGATGAAATAGATCCTGAGCCACACGTGGGGCAGGCAGATGAAGGTCACTGAGGCTGCTCCGGAGCTTGGCAGTGACAGATCCATGGGCCGGCCCTGCTGCTGCCCCGTAACCACCATGGGGAAGGCGCTGGCTCCCATTGCCTCCCAGCAGCACGGTGTACCCGGAGCTCCCTGCACCCGTGGCAAGTGCTTTGCTCAGGGACCCCGCTGTGGGTGAGAGCGGAGGCACTGAAGGGCAGGATCCTGCTCCTGCCCCATGCAAGGAGCTCCTTCCAGGCTGCTCTGGACTGGTGAATCCTGGACAGCCCCAGGCAGCTCTGGCAGAGCTCTCCCCCAGGCCATGGCACAGCACAGAGGCACTGGCACCATGCAGAGAGGCAGGAGTGAGCCACGAAGCCCTTTGTCTTCTCAAAGCTGTCAGCTTTGAAGGGCAGCAGTGCTGAGCCTGCCCTCAGTCACCCACTGCAAGCACCCCAGTGGACCTGTGTCCCCATCAGTCACT